CTAGTCAGGTGGTCACGTCATATGACCAAGGATGAGGTCATGCACAGCCATGCACAGCAGGTCACCTGACCATCCAATCCTTCCAGTAGGTTCCAGCACATGCCAAGGTATACCAGCTACTTCCATGTCATAAAGGCTTAGTCATGTCTCTTGACCAACCAATGAGCTGGTGCCCTGACACCTCTCTGCCACATGCCTTCATGCAGTTCCACCAGTGCTCTCTCTTGTACACTGTAGTTGCCATTGCCATTGATTAGGGCAATGGCAACTAAACACTGATTTCAATTCACACCATTGTCTAGGCCATGTTTAATACACACAATTTCTGATCTCATGTGTGAAGGTGGTATATTATGGGTGAAATGTTCTTACACCCTCCATCTGGTCCAGGATCCCAAGTTTCACAAATCCCATATGACCCATCCTCCACATGTCTTGTCTGAGGTCCATCCTGTTCTTCCTACCTACAAAACTACCTGGCGAGCTATGAGACACTGTGACCATCTATGAAATCTTCCTATCCTGATGCAGGCTCATGCACAGGCTCAGCAAGTGGGACTGCTGGCACATACTTGCAGACCCAAGCTGGGGCTCACAGCTTGATGTCCTGGGATGGTCTGATCCACACAGATTCACTGGGGGAAGGACTCAGTGAGCTCTCAATGCCTTGCAGCCTCTACACAGTCAACTTACCCAATGTCTTTTGTCAGGTTAGTCACCAGATCCTTCCACACATTCTGCTCCTTGGCATGCAAGGCTTGGTCGAACCTTTCGATGCACTGGATGATCCACAGATAATCCTTCCAGTAGGGAAGGCCAGCAAACAACTGCATGGTCTGAGTGCCATCTTCCCACTCTTGGAGGATGTAGAGAATCTGTTCCATAAGGTCTCAGCTCATCTCAGCACCTATGAGGTGTTACAATCTAATACATACCACTGTGAATACAAATGCAAAAAACTGCTTCGAGTATGGCTCCAGGAAAGTTGGGTAACCAATACCATCAGCCTCTTTCAAATGTTGTGCTTGATGAGCTCCTTCAGCACCGGATTGCAGAAAAGTCCACCTTTATCCCCTACCTGCACATATTCAGTGTCAAAATCCACCAGATGTCCTTCAGAGGCTCACATTGGCTGGGTTGAAGCACACAAAGAGGAAGTTCTTCCACTCGTTTGTCAACTGATGGATGAACATTTTGATGGAAGCTGCATTGGGCCAGTGTGTCTTGTCAGCAAACTGATACAGCTTCTTGACCACCATTCTTGCACTAGTCTTCACAGATCCTTGAAAATGTGCTGGTTCTCCTGTAAGCTTTGCCAAAGTATGAGTGACAGTCGACATGGTATAGGATGCCATGGACCATTTTGAGCACCCCTTCTGTCAGTGTCACCACTGGAAGACTGTCAAGGATGCAGGAGATGTTTGCTTGGTTGACAGCCTTGTTTATCAATGTGCACAGCATTGTGCCATCCTTCAGGAAAGCATCCTCCACAGTGATCAAGATACAAATGTGTGCCTTTGCAACTTGCAGGGATTTCTGGGCATCAGCAGGATAGGCGGACAGGCACTCTGGGTCCAGATACATTATGATGCATTGCAGCTCATCACAATTGTCACTCTTCTTCCATTTGGGAAGGTTGTCATCCAGATATTCATCCAACTCATCTTCTTCCTTGCTGGAGGTTTGGTCACCCATTGATTCCATTTCGTCATCATCCTTTGAGGGCTTAGCACATTTGCGAGCTGAAGCTCACATATTGGGCCTAGCTAATTGCGATCAACCTATGTCACAGCAAGGTACAGACCATTCCTGCAGCCTACAAGCCAGAGAAGACACTCACCTTGCTTCTTGCCATGCTCTGAGACCAACCTACTGGCATCTGTCTCTTCAGAGCTCTGTTCTATGCCACTGTCAGCAATGCTACAGACCCGTCCGGATAGTGTGCATACCAATGGTATCCTATTTGCACCCAGACTTCCATTGCACAATCCCTTGCCTCTCAACACAATTGTGTTTTGCAAGATACTCCTGCCAATAATGAAGGTGACATTCCTCCACCATCAGGAGGGAGATTGGCCTACTCGAGCAGCTGCTGGGATTGTCTGTGGTGCCACCAGGTGGGTCACCTACCCATACTGATCAGATGGAGCCTATGGTGCTTATACAGCAGCATACCAAATTCTTGCAATCCAATCAGAGGTGTTGGAGATCTATGAGAACCTTGTCCAGCCATTTGACATTAGTTGGGGAGGTGAGAGAGTAGTACAACATCCTCCAAATGTGTTCTCCAACTCAGCAGGAACAATTCCTCACATGCTTGGCTCATGTGATCTCTGTCTGGTTCTCCCCTTAACATTGAATGACACCTGTTGCCTCCCTCAATGATCAAATGCTAGTACACATTATTATCTGTCTGCTATAAAATAATACAGTGAGGTATGGGACTGTTTGGGCCGCTCTGTGCAGGTGTGACCTTTATGCATACTCGAGTACTGTCAGGGCACCAGCTCATTGCTTGGTCAAGAGACATGACTAAGCCTTTATGACATGGAAGTAGCTGGTATACCTTGGCATGTGCTGGAACCTACTGGAAGGATTGGATGGTCAGGTGACCTGCTGTGCATGGCTGTGCATGACCTCATCCTTGGTCATATGACGTGACCACCTGACTAGGCTGAGTAAGCAAGATGTTCTAGCAGGTTCCACCACAGAGGTATAAATATAAGGCCTACTCTGCCTGGGGACTGTCTCTTCAGACTTGGTCTCTTAGGATCATCCACAGGTACCTATACTGTAGATAGGTCTTAGTCATCAGGTCTACT